GTTCTACAGTATAAATCACTACACCTGCTGTTAATATTTACATAGGTCAAGTAGAAAAATTGTCCATAGGTTGTTTTAAAAGTTAATTTGATGAAAATTTGATTAGACCAAAATAAAAAAGCTTTATGCATTTTGTTTGTGATTTGTGTCGTACGACTATTGTGCATCTGACATAATACTATTATGGTAAATGTGATGTCCTAATTATAAAATATAAAAATCGCAAATTTTTTCACAAATTTCTGGAAATTACCACCACAAAATCAGTCATTTTGATTGCAAAAATCACACAAAAAAATCGTGAAATCCTGGAGGGACTGGTTTGATAAAGTTACAGTAACATTGTTACGGAATCTTTGCTAGCGCTATCTTAGCAAAAACATGTTAACATTGCTTACAAGTTTATTGGTTTACTTCGACAGTGCTTCCAGTGCTCCTTCCACAATTTAGTTAACAAACCTAAAATAAGTGAGAGCAGCAGCTAAATATCCTTTCATATTTTGACAAACAACACGAGGATTTGAAGAACTGTCTTCAAGTTGTAAGTAATGTTAGATGGATTCTTTCTCCCGCCTACTGTCATAACGTCAGAGAATGTTCTGGTATGCTCAAGCCAATTACGCAAAGATAATATAAAGCCAAGACCTCTGCTTCTTCTCCCAAGTTGCATCGACACATTACTGCCGCCAATTGTTTGGGGGTGGAATTGCATCTGTAATCGTTGTGAAGAATTCTCCGGTTGCTCTTCTCGTCAACGAGTGATGGAAGGGGGGCCAATCAGGGGCCAATCAGATTTCAGAAGGGGCCAGGGCCCCTATGGCCCCGCCTCTAGAACCGCCCCTGCCAGGAGGCCACCTCATGAATCTGGCATAGAGGAGACAGTAGGGTCAGACAATCCCTGGCCAATTGGGGTTAAGGGCCTTGCTCAAGGGCCCAGTGGTGACATCACTCTTCCGGCCATGGGATTTGAACCGGCAACCTTATGAGTCCCAACCCAAAGAGCTACCTCTTTTTTTTTTATTAATGTGGTTTTGGGCAGTGCTGTTATTTAATAGATTTGCTGTCTTTATTCTAAAACGTAGAGAATAGTACAAATTAATCTTTCTATGTGTTGGTGTGTCAAAAATTTTGGTACCATATGAGTCAACATTTATATTCTGTTTGTTACTTTCTCATGTTTCACTATGGCCAACAAGAACGATATTTTCATTGTCAGCCATGTTCGAATACACTGTGAAATGAAATGATAGTCCTCTTGCACCCATGGTGCAACATACATTACAGGGCTGAAGAGTTATGGAATAATTCACATAGTGCACAAAATTCCTGTAGAATTATTCATAATTTAACTTTTACCTGTACTTACCAAATAACCCTTTCTCACCTCATTGTATGACTCCACGCATCATTTATTTGAAGTTGAAGATACTTTGCCGCTGACCTTGCGGCACGTCCCGGCAGTGTGTGCGCGTCAGCGTTCAGCTCTGTAATGGGTGTCTTGGCAGTACTTCTGGGTGCTGCTCCTCACGCGAGCTTTCGTTGGCATCGGGGAGGCCAGTTACTGCACCATCGCTCCCACCATCATCGGGGACCTCTTCATCGGAGCCAAACGCACCCTCATGATCTCTGTTTTCTACATCTTCATTCCCGTGGGATGGTGAGTGTACTTGCCATTCTAGGCCAATTGCCACTTTCCTGTGGCAATTCTGATCATTTGTTAATGATTTGGAGCATGTGCATTGGCAGCTGTGAGCTGGGTTTTCTGTCTGTCTTCTCAGTGGTCTGGGATATATAATCGGAAATTCTATTGCCACTGCCACAGGGGACTGGCACTGGGCACTACGGGTAAGATACTCACATGGAATACTTGCTTACATTCTTGCTTATAAGTCTTTTGATGTTTGTTTTAGCTGCGAACTTCACCTCATTATTCAGATCTTCTGATAGCTGATATAACCTTTATTTAATGTACAATAACAGTAAAATATCAGTCATTTACTGAAAAAGCTTTATAAATTATAGCTAAATAGTTAATTGTCGCATGTTATGATACATTATGCCACAATGTTTGATGTTTGTAGTCTTAAGTAATTGTTAACATTACCCAAGGTTTTGAGGCTAAAGTATTTGTATTTATATGCTGTGCAGTTCCTTCTCGCAATGGCAGTGTGTCATTGGTGGCAGGAAGCCTGCAGGGTGGGGGGGGGGGCAGCGTTACTCACCTGTCAGTCTCGTTTCAGTTGAATCCCATTCTAGGCCTGGTAGGCCTCCTCCTGATCATAGTGTTCCTCTCGAACCCGGCCCGGGGAGCTGCGGAAGCCCAGTCGAACCCGGCCCGGGGAGCTGCGGAAGCCCAGCCGACCGCGGAGATGATGCACACGTCCTATTGGGAGGACGTCAAGTACCTCTTACAGAAGTCAGTTGAGAGTCGCAAGCTTGTCACGCGCTGGTCCCAGCGTCCTGATGGCTCTGTCATGCCTGCACTGGGCTCAGAGCTAACAGCAACCCGCTGTGTGTGTTTCGCAGTCGCAGTTTCGTCCTCTCCTCGCTGGGTGTGACGGCCATGACCTTCGTCACAGGGGCCCTGGCCTTCTGGACTCCCATCTTTCTGCAGAGGGCACGGGAGGCACTGCGTGGCGGCGGGCGGTGTGCGGAGCACAGCTGTGTCTCCTCAGACAGGTAGCTGCTGTAGCCATGCCGCTCTGATGGTCCACTTTCCCCTTCTCGCTCTCACGTGGCCCTCTGCGACTTCCTCAGCTACGCGTTCGGCGCCATCACCGTGGTAACGGGCATCCTGGGGGTGCTCATGGGATCCAGCGCCTCCCGGAAGCTGAAAGGCCGCGTGCCGCACGTGGACCCGTTGATCTGCGCCGTGGGCATGCTCAGCTCCTCGCCCTGCTTCTTCCTCGCCATCGTGCTGGCCTACGTCAGCATCCCTGCTGCTTACGTGAGCACTGCCTGCCGGCCGCCATCTTGCTGTCTTTATTGCATGTGCTCACCTGCTCAGTGATTGGCCAGCATGCTGGCCGCCTGATTGCAGCTCCTTTTGGGGTCTCATCATATAGACTGCTCACATATAACATGTAAAAACTGTTGAAATCCAGCACTGGTTGGACTTGCACTCCAGAACAACTTTATCTTTACTAATAAAAGAACATTTATTCTTTGTTATTCACAATACGTAGCAGTCTTTGTGGATCTGGGTGTGTGATGGTGAGCTTTGGGATTCTGGGTTAGGCTTCTGTGGTCCTGGATCTCCGCAGCTTCTTCATCTCTGTTTATCCCCTCAGGTGTTCATCGCCATTGGGGAGACCTTGCTTTCCCTGAGCTGGCCGATTTTGGCTGACATCTTGCTGGTGCGCCCCGTTCCACTCCTCTGAGTCAGCGTGCTCTTTTTTAATCATCCTTCCATCTGATGGAGGGCAAGACCGCAGATGGTCCACTGTGGAGACGTGCCTCCCCCATCAGCAGCCGCACCCACTGCGGATCACCACAGACCCATTATAGCACACCATTCTGTTTGACTTATAGTACATACCCCATTTCAAATCCACTGGAAGTTACCTATTAAATGTCGTGTTGAGAACTTGCCCTTTAGCATGTGTCTCGTTCCTTGGCAGTACGTGGTGGTGCCTACGCGGAGGGCCACAGCAGAAGCCTTGCAGATCACGGTCTGCCACCTCTTCGGCGATGCAGGGAGTCCTTACCTCCTGGGACTTGTACGTTTCTGTGGTAGAATTACTGCTGTTGTTTTGTGCTGTGATTTGACATAGACTGCAGCTGACGATGAGCAAACCAGTAACAAATATGCTAATATGGTCTATCTGTGCTTAGTGTGAAGCAGTAAGAGCTGTACATCAGTGATTCATGGCGCTAGCGTAGCCTCTGCATGCTAACCACCTGCTCTATCCCGCCCAGCTGTCTGACTGGATAAGGAGGTACCAGCCTGACTCGTTCACCTGGCGGTTCCGCAGCCTGGAGTACAGCTTCCTGCTCTGTCCCTTCGTGGGCGTCTTGGGTGGCCTCTTCTTCCTGCTCACCTCTCTGCATGTCACCAAGGACCGGAAGGCCGCCGAGCTGCTGGTCGCAGGTAAGGATCCTTCTGTTCCGATTGGCCAGTCCCACCCACTACAAGCCCAGCTGCACAGCTCCGTTCTGTGATTGGTCAGTCTCATCCGCTGCATCCTCCCACACCTGGCTGCACAATTTCTAAGCTGCTTACCCCAATCCCACCTGTTACACCCTCCTACTCCAGCTGCACGGATGCATGCTGTGATTGGCCAATCTTGCCCACTACATCCTCCGACACCAAGTGCATGGATGCATGCTGTGATTGGCCAATCCTGCCCACTACATCCTCCGACACCAAGTGCATGGATGCATGCTGTGATTGGCCAATCCTGCCCACTACATCCTCCGACACC